TTCCTTAATTTAGATGTTTATCTTCTAGGATACAGATTTAATATGACATAAACACAGAATTTGGTCAGACCATTCCAAACCTTGTTTACTGGTTCATTCTTTATATATTAGTTAACTTCTAGGAAATTGGAATAAAGTATAAAACCGATATTAAGAGAATATTATGCAGTAAACAGGAAACTTCTGTGATGGCACTTGGAGACTGTTGGATTCACAGCAAATGCAAGTTTCTTGCTCAGAATGGATGTATAAAAATATCTACAGGAGCAGCCCATCTGTGCATCAGAATTATAATTCTTTAGCATCAGGATAAATTGGAAAACCTAGAGCTCAGTAATCTTTCAATCTACTATCTTTATAAAGCAAACTTCAGGAATATTCATATTCTGACTCCAGTATAAGCTGTTCTGCAATTATCAAAATGGGTCCTTCATCTAAAATCTGTAATATATACTTCTTGTAGTCTTCAATTATCATTTATGTCATTTATGCCAGAAAATAACACAAATAAAATAATTCCATAAGTGAAGATGGATTGAGAAAACTGAAATCACTAAAAAAGTTACAAAAAATAAAATTAACTTTTGATCAGTTCTTCTACTGTAATCCTCCACACTGAAGATAAAAGGGACTTTTAACAAAAGATATCAAAGTTTCTATAGTGCTATATTCTAGAAATCTCAGTTATGACTAGGGGACTGTTCTGTAAGAGAAAGCATAGAGGTAAAAAAAAAAAGTCATAGCTAAGCCTACAAAGCAATTGATGATTTAGTATGGGGGTGCTTTTCTACAGTACCCAATCCTTGGCAGTGTGCCATTGGGATCATGCTTGCATACCTTTGACACATGTTTGGGAGATTCAAAGTAGGTGGTGATTATATGTAACAGTTTGATAAATCACTACTCCTGTGATAAACACCATGACGAAAAAACAACCTAGGGAAAAAAGGGTTTATTCGGCTTACACATCCCTATCACAGTCCATTGTTGAGGGAAGCCAAGGCAGGAACTCAATCAAGACAGGAACCTGGAAGCAGGAACTAAAATAGAAACCACAGCGGAATGCTGTTTACTGGTTTGTTTCCCATGATTTACTCAACCAGATTTCTTATATAGCCTAGAACCACCACATAGAATGTGCTGGGCATTTTTACATCTGTCATTAATCAAGAAAATGCCTCACAGGTTTACCTTTGGACCAATCTGGTGGAGACATTTTCTCAACTGAAGTTTCTTCTTTCTAGTTAAGCCTGGATTATGTCAAGTTGCCAAAACAGAAATCTGATGGAGACAATCGCTTCCAGCTGTTGACCTGAAAGCGGCATCTGAATGTCCCTAGATGGGATGCAAAATGGAGCAAAGAAAATGTTTCTAACATGCAGAAACTGTTGAAACATCACCTATTTTGAAGTAATAAACAGAAATAGTTTGAAAGCAGCATAGGGCACATAAAGCGATGTAAAGAAAGGAAAGGATTGCTTACTAGGTAAAATTTCATTTTAGAAAACAAGCTGTAAAATCATTCTTCAAATTTTGGGGAGAAAAATTAAACTGTCTTCTCATAGTGAATTTCAAGATGGCATTGATGAGAGGGAAAGAGTTAATGTAAGTCGGATGTAAAGGGAGTAAGAAAAGAAAATGCCATATTAGAATTAAGATTTGAGTTCCAAGCAGGAAAGACTAGGGACTACTGTGCAGAGAAATGGTAACGATGGGAGCAGGCACTGAGGATCTGCAAGTACAGAGGAAAAGCATAGCATAGGTAACAGATTGGAAGACCAAAAATCCAACTCCTAGACCGTTGCTTATTCTCAAGAAGGAACGGGACAGACGTTTACGGACTGGGGGGCGAGGGGGGGAAGGCATATCATGTTAGATTGAAGATTTCTGATTGAAAGACTCCCTAGTGGCAAGAAATCACAATCAGGAAGAGAGACTAAATAAAACAATACACAATGCCAAAGCTAATCACGAGAACATCTAAATATATTGTTCATTTTTTAATTCAAAGCATAAAAAGTTATGTAAGCAAATACCAGGGAGTGCTGCTTTAGAATTACTCTTCCCAAAACAAGGTCAGAAGTTACTAGTACAGCCCAGAGCACCCACACATATTGTAGCTTCTACTCCAAGGCAGTAACTGACCATCATGAAAAGAGCAAAAGACATTAGCAAAAACATAGCAATATTAAATCTCTACAGGAACTCTGAAAAAAATGTGAAAATATGTTGCACCTGACTGGCACATGGATCATATAAACATGAATAAGTAGGTCATTCTGAATATCTTTATCCTTAGGAGGAAAAGGACTCTTTTCCTTAGCATTCATTCCCAGCATTACTCATTCCACTGTCTGAGTGACGTTTATTTGCCACCATTCTCATCAGCCATGTCCTACAAGCTAAGTTCCCTTCATGTGGCAGAGATGATGTGAATTGCTGAGGCCCTGATGCTGGTGTGCTTACCTCTGAGGATCAGGCAATACAGAACAGTTAAACCGAGTCCCTGGTCTCCACCTGCTGGTGGCCTGTTGCCATAGCAGTGTTGGCAGCCTGAACAAAAACATTTGGTCTGCAATGCCTGTTCAAATGACTTAGCCACAGAATAGCTATGACATGTTTATCTTGTGATAGTAAAATATGCTAGAGTCCACAGACAAACATACAGAAAACAATCCATTTATAAGCTAATGATTCTGTTTTCATCAAATGAGTGTTAAAATTACCTTTGGCGTTGCTGGAGAGATGGCTTAATGTTTAAGAGTCTTTGTTGTTTTTCCAGAGGACACAGTTCAGTTTGCAGTGCCCACTTGGGTACCTCATATCCACCTGTAATTCCAGTTCCTGGAGACCTAATGCCTTTTTCTGACCTCCTGTATGTGCACATAAAAACACAATCATACATACACATAAGTAAAATAAATCTTATGCTTTTCCATCTATAGTGTGTGTGTGTGTGTGTGTGTGTGTGTGTGTGTGTGTGTGTGTGTGTAGGCTGGTTTACCATTCTGTCTGATGTATATAGATAACATCTCGTTCAAAGTTATTGAAATCATGTGTTGTTCATAGGTGTGACTTCTGTCCAGATATATGGAAAGTAAAAATAATGGAATTATGACTAAACAGTTTGCCTTCCCCATTTGAGCCTGTGAGTCACTGTATTCATATTGGTTTTTTATCAATAGTTCCCACTATGGAAGAAAACATATTAGGTCTTTAGTACCCATGTAAAAGCCCATTCTCTCCTCCCTCTCTCCTTCCTTCCTTTCGTCCTTCTCTCCCTCCCTTCCTTCTTTTTCTTATCTTTTTATCACAATACCTGGCATTGAAACCAGAACCTCATCTGGAACAACTGTAACACTGAGCTCTGTCCCAGCCTAAACTTGTCGATTTAACAAGCAATAAATCAATGAGCAAGTGTTCATTATTCTTCTTGGGATTAAGATGCCTTCCTTGTATTGCTAATTATACTTCTTTTGACAACAGTGACATTTATAGAAGATCATTGTTTACTTAAAATGATATTTACCAACATTTAATATCATTTTAATTAAATATCAGCTCTAATTCACACAAGAGGATCACTTTTCTGAATCCATGTACTTTAATGGCAGAATAAAAACAAAAGAAATAAAGACAAGTGGATACTTTCACACCATTGTCCACTTTCTGTGAAAAACCAAATTCTCGTAATGGGATAGTCTCATGTAAGATATAGAAATTTCTGTGAATATGAGTAACATTTGATCATGTATCAAAAGATATAGCTTTCTTTTATCCCCAAGGTAAAATTACAATGTTTAGAAAAAGTCCTTCACACAAAATTATTTTAAGTAATATAGTAAGTGTGACTTTGAGGCAAAGGAGAGTTCTTGGAAAATGCCATGCTGTGTGATTAAGTAAGGTCACATTCCCCCACCCCATCTGTGATGCCCACTGAGAGTTGCTCTCCATCACCCGCTTCAGAAGTTGGGCTTGGAGAGCTAATACTTGCATGAGTATGGCTTCCCTAACAGTTCAGAGAACAGTGTAGAACTGATCCAGTGAAAGAAAGCACCAGCTAATTTTAACTCATCAGAAAGCAGTATCCATGTCTGGAATATGTGTGCTGGGTTTACTATATACAATCAGCCTGAACATTCTTTCTCAATAGTCTTTTATATTCTACCTTGTCAAATCATGTCTGCCATGCTGATTATTAGAATCCTATTAAAGAGTTAGACTCTAAACCAGTTTGTTCAAATTTAAAACCTATGATGGTACTTCCTTTATTTCATCATTGTGTTTTAAGCACTACTGAAATTTTCTTTGAATTTTGCTTCCCTTGGTAAAGACTCCAAGTCTGATTGTGACATTTTTCTAGCCAGCAGATGGCTCCATGAATATTTGTATATTGCTGATGCATATTGGATTTCAAAGCTATTTCCTCTCATCTTTTTAACCTTCTTTTGGAGGAAACCACACCATCACTCCTTTTCCCTGAATGTGATTCAGCTATGAGGCCTTCACACAGATGTGGAGAGCAACCATTCTGATTCTTACTGCATGATGGAACACCCCCCCCCCCGGTGGTCCTCCTCCATGAGTCAGCTCTCACAGGAACTCAGGTCCCTTCAATATTATAATTTGGTGTTTCTTAAAGCTTAATCCACTGATGTCTGCTTTCATCAAAAAAGAAAAAAGAAAAGGCTGTGGAGAGAGATACATCCACTGCTTACTAATAGCCTCTAAAGAATGGTATATGTGACCTGTTCCAATGATATCTACCATACTGACTGAAGGGAAAGCCAAGGGATGCAGAATCCATATCATTGGAAGCCCTGGGAAGAGTGAGCTCTAACCACCAGAAGCTTCTGTTGCCCCTGACTACTGGGATTCCATCCATGGCAAAGCAGCTCAGTGCTGATGGTCTTAGCAGTTGGGGAAGAATGATGGAGTGGTCCTGAGGCCTTGTGGAGGCTCTGGAGACCCAGGCGTAGTGACTGCTTTCTACCTTATAGATCCCTCCTGGAACCGATGCTGATGAGACTGTGGGAACTACAGTGCCAACTGCTGGGGTCCCAGTGGAAGAAGCAGAGGCAGAGAAGGCAGCCCTCCCTGCTGCAGAAGCAGACAGCATGGAGGGGACCAAAATCGATGCTGAAAGCACTGAGGTTAAAAGCAGTGAAAGTCCTCCACCAGCAGAAACTGAAGCAGCTGCCACTCAGGTAAGGGTTTCCTGAGGGACTTCTGAGGAGAGGGCTGTTTAGTGGGCTCTAGTCTGCTGGCCTGGGTGGACTGGACTTCGTATGCCTGATGGCTAAAGCACAGAAAAGGGGAAAGGAAGCTGCAGTAGTGAGAGGGAAGAAATGAAGCACAGATGATGAGAAAACTCAGTGGAGAGAGGAAGATAAAAATGACAAATCTGTTAGAGTGAGAAATGCCCCCAAAGGCTTAGCCCAGTGCCAGCCGTTGGTAGGAACTCAGTGTGAAGACAGAGGTTGAGTTACAATTACCAGTGTTTCATGGTTACTTTTATTGATTATCTTAGATTCCCCACAAGGCTTCTCTCATCAAAGCCAAGCACACATTTTAAGGAAAGTCGGATGAGTACACACATGAAGTTAAGAGTTGGCCCTAGCTCTTCCTGTCTCCTTGCAGTGATAAAAGATAGCACACACCCAGCCCCATAACTTGGGCAATGATGGATAGTCATTGCAAATGTGAGAGCAGCATGGAGTCCTCCCCCCTTGTATTTTCTTTTTAGGATAGCCTCTTGCCCCTCAGGACAGACCCTTTCTGCTTTTAGCCTCCTACTACCCTGGATTGCTCATAGAAACCCCCCATTTTCCAGGCAATGTGACTGCTCAGGATTCAGACAGGCTTCCCCCTAAAGCTTTACTACTCAGGAGAGCAGTGAGAAAGTCAGGACAAATGTAAGGCATAGGCCCAAATTCTGCAAACGTAGTGGGCTTGCAACTGTGGGTTAGTGACACGGGAGAAGACAGCCCAAGAACAAAAGCACCCGTTCTTTCCAAGGCCATGACAATATCCACTTCTCTATCCACCAGGAGAAGGTTATCCCTTCTGTTGTTATCGAGCCAGCCTCCAACCATGAAGGGGAAGGAGAGCACCATGAAACCACTGTGGGTCCCGAAACAAGAGAGGCCTCTGAGGTTGTGGCTCCCCGAGGCCAGGCTGGTGAGATGCCAACACTGGCCGCAGAGGCCACGCCTCTGGATTCTCAGGCAGCTTCACCTGCAGCAGCAGGTGCTGTGGATTCCTCCTTGTCTGCAGAGGATGCCGCTCAGGAAATGCCTCCTGGCTTTCTCTACAAGGTCTTTATATTGTCACTTCAGGGTTATTGGCCTTTCCTTGAGTCCCCTTTGCACGACTTTCTGCTTTTCCAGTGTGCTATTTACATTGTGTGTTCTTCCTCAAATCTGATTTCCTTTCACCCTGACCTCCCCTGGAAAAACGGCAGCATGTCCATACCGTAATACCCTTTGTGTTTCAAAACAGAGTAGGTAAAATGGGTATGGCTTGCCCCCGGTAGTGAGTGGGCTAATGCCTTCCAGGCTTCTTTCGGAGATAAGTCTGTCCAGCCTGGCTCAGATCAGGCCATTGAAGCCAGCTGTACTCCAGTATGTTCCCTTAGGAGTTGCCAAAAAGGCTGGAAGCAGAGCAATCCAGTCCAAGTACAGATCAGGGGGCCAACCAGTAGTCTGAAAACAAGTCCCCAGAGGCACTAAGGGTCTTCTGTGAAAAGAATGAGACAAATAAGCCTCCATTCCTGGGAAGAAAGTTTTTCCAGCCATGGATCATCATAAACTAAAGCCTCCTTATGGGTCAAACAAAAGAAAGAAAAAAAAAAAAAAAAAAAACAGCATTGATTGCCTAGAGACCATGCTTACAGCCAAGTGTTGGCAATGGATAATGACCCCAGAAGAATCTGATTAGAAATTGTAAGCATTGTATAATTTGATACTATATTTCAAAATGCAGCCCTTGTTTTCATTTGGTTCCTTGTTTTTCAGTACTGAGAGCAAACTCAGAACTGTGTGCCTCCTAGGCAAGCACTCTGCTACTTGGTACATACTTTGTACTCTTTTTCATTTTGAGACAGGGTCTTGCTAAGCTGCATAGACAGACCTTCATATTGTGGTTGTCTGCTTTAGCCTCCCAGATAGCTGAGTGGTAGGCACAGACCACCATGCCTGGATACCCACTTTTAAAAAAAAAATGTGCATGTAATTTGTTTGTGTTCATATGAATGACATGAATATCTATCCATTCTCTCTGTCCCTCTTTTAGAAGGAAACTTCCATTATGCCACTGGAAGTGGGTGCAGGTATAATAAAAGATTTATGAATGGACTAATGTGGGGCAAAATAATTGAACATATGGGTTAAAGTTGGGGCTAGAAACATGGTCATTTGTTTAAGCAGTACAAGTAAAGTTCAGGAAATTTGTGCCTGGCAAGGCTGGGGCATGAAGGACCAGTCTTTAACTTGGCCAGTCACTACAGTGTGGCCCATGGTGCACATTTCAGTCCCTTTCTGGACATCAGTTCTCATTGCAGAAATTAATTTTTGTATAATAGTCAGTTCTCGCTCTAATAATTTTATTCTATACATGGAATGCATATTTTAAAGGCAGACTGTTTCATCTTGAGTGCCCAGGTGTTTGCAAGGAACCATTATGGGAGAAATAAAACTGGCCAGGACTATCTAGTCCTTCCAGTTGAGAAACGGGTACTCAATGTGTTAATCTTTCTGATTTTCCATAATATAAATTTTAAAAAAAAATTAAAGGTGCAAAGGAAAAACAAAATTGCTGTGGCATAAGGAGGCAGGATAGCAAAGAGTGAAATTTTTTAAAATTTATTTTTATTTAAATTAGAAGCAAGCCTGCTTCACATGTCAATCCCAGCTCCCTCTCCCTCCCCTCCTCCCCTGCTCCCACCAACCCCCACCCTGTACCCTGCCTCTACCCAGGGAGGGTGAGGCCCTCCATGGTGGATCACCAAAGTCTGTCATATCACCTAGGCCCTCCCCAATGTGTCCAGGCTGAGAGAACATCCCTCTGTTGATATTCCAGGGATAAATACTTCTCTGCTACTGGAGGCCCAAATATTTCCAAGTCCTCCTCACTGACACCCACGTTCAGGGGGGGTCTGGATCAGTCCCATGCTGGCCTCCCAGCCTTTAGTCTGGGGTCCATGAGTTCCCCCTTGTCCAGGTCAGCTATTTCTGTGGGTTTCACCAGCTCTGTCTTGACCCCTTTGCTCTTCACTCCTCCCTCTTTGTGACTGGATTCCAGGAGTTCAGTTCAGTGTTTAGCTGTGGGTGTCTGCCTCTGCTTCCATCAGCCATTGGATGAAGAAGGCTCTAGGGTGGCATATAAGGTAGTCATCAAGGCCCTCAAAGAGGATATGAGAAAATTTATTTTTAAAAAGCCATTTGTAACCAGGCAGTGGTGGTACACTCCTGTAATCCCAGCACTTGGGAGGCAGAGGCAGGTGGATTTCTGAATTCAAGGCCAGCCTGGTCTACAGAGTGAGTTTCAGGACAGTCAAGGCTACATTGAGAAATCCTGTATCAGAAAACAAAACAACAAAAAACCTATTTGTTTAATTAAAGAATAATTCTTATAGAACACTCAAGAGGCAGTTTGCCAGGCTTTTCATTATTTTATAAGAAAATTCTTTAGCTTGGCAATATTTAACTCAAGTTAAACTATCATCAGTGACAATATCTAACTGATGATTAATTATCTAACAAAATATAACAAATCTAACAAAATTAAATATCTAACAAAAATTAACAAGTTAAAATTTAGTATAGTACTTTCATCTATTGCATAGTACATTGAATTAATAAAGATAGACATGAATGGCCCCATACAAGCCAGTAAGAAGCAAAGGTATAAAGTAAATAGAAAGTAGTGTTCCCAAAAATGTTTTGCAACTTTTTTCTCCCCTTAGGGTTTGTGTTAGCCTGTTTTATGTTATAGTAAAATGCTGGATTCCAGGTCTTTAGAAAGAAAAGTGGTTTCTTTAGCTCACAATAGGAAGTCCAAAGAATAACACTGGCAGTGGCTCTGCTCTGGCTATGTGACAGATGCTAGCATGTGAGAAGAAAAGGTCACATGGTGACACAGGAAGCTGGAGCATGGAAAAGCTCACTGTCTCATAATCTTGCAGAATAACCCGGGTTCTATGAGAAACCCACTAACTCCTTTGAGAGCATCACCCTAGGGGTCTCCTACTTCACTCCTTATCTTATTGCTTCCCATGCCTCTCACCACCATTTGGGGACCAAGCCTCCCCCCCCCCACACACACACAGATGAACCTCTGCTGTAGACCATATCCCAGCCATAGCAGGATGGCAATGTCTGTCTTCATCCTTTATGTGCTTGTAATCTTATTAGGAAACATGAAGTTACCATTTTCTTCCTCCCTCCCTCCCTTCCTTCTCTTTTATTCTTTCTCTTTATTTTGAAGCAGGTCTTGCTGTGTAGCCCATGTTCTTGCTGGTCTGGAGCTCACTAGGTAGTGCAAGCTGGCTTTGAAGTCATGTCTATAGTCTTGCCTCAGACTCCTGGGTGCTAGTTTACAGGTAGTCACCACACTCCGCTTCTTTCCAAATCTAACCAATTGTTTAAATGTTTTGCAGGTGGAAACCCTGCATGATTTTGAGGCAGCGAATTCTGATGAACTTAACCTGCAAAGGGGTGATGTGGTGCTCGTGGTCCCCTCAGACTCAGAAGCTGACCAGGTAATATGTAAGGCTGGAAGGTGCATCAGGCCACATTGGATTTTTAAGGGCGAGCTGGACAAGTGACTTTCTGCAGCATCTCTGTTGTCTAAGATGCTGTGAGCCAACTTTGACAAGGTCTTAAGGACTTACATGCTCAGCACTCCATCAACTGTTCTTTCAGGGTACCCATTTATGAGACCATTGACTGTTCCTTTATGTACAATTACATGAGATGACCTTTTCTTGTCTCTGTATTTCTTGCTGGGTATGCTGTACGTGTAACATCAGGTTTTAGGAAAAGCTGACACTGCATGAACTGTACATCCCTTTCAGAAGTAGTTGCCTCTTACGGTGTAGTAACCCATGGAAAGAAACTGGGAAAACATTATAGGGAAAATGAAATGTTCAGATCTTCATGAAGTTACACCTATGTAGCCTTTGTTTTACCTTATTGGACTTCACAACTAACAACTCTGCCACTGTATGGCACAGCATTTAAATTATACCTCAATTGGAAAAGTACCTCTTACCAGAATGATTGATTATAGTATACATGAACTCCAAGGTTGTCCCTATTCACAATTTGGGGGCTCCTGAATTGCTATGCAAAGCATGTGTAAATGAGCCTATGAGCATGTATTTTTACGAGAAGAGCCATGACTCCCATACTAATTTTAAAGAAATGCATTCATGAGTCTTCTCTCTAAAATAAAGTTTAAAATCAAAGCTTTATAAGTTAGCATTTATCTGCATTCTATCGTCATTCTAATTTTCCAAAGTCCCCTCTGAATAGCCTATTAGGCTCTGTGTACAGCGTTCAAGGTCTTTTCTCACCCACAGATCCAAACTCTTCCAAATAGGTCTTCCACAAAACAATTCCAGATGCCGACTAACCACATGACCAGGTAGCCATAGCCACAAGCCCACCACACAGCACTAACCTCCTATGTTAGTTCCCTCATCTCTGTTACAGAGTATCAGACAACAAGCAACTTAAGGGAATGACTTGTTTGGCGTCATGGTTTGAGGAGATAATGTCCATTGTGTCAGAGAAGACATGGTGGCAGGCAGCTCCATTTTGGTGGTGTGTCTGGTAACATTTTTATTGATACTAGATACAGTAAGTGTACAGTACACTGTAGAGAGTTGGATTCTATTTTCTATATCTGAAGGCTATTTTTGTTCTGTAGGGACTTAAATTACTAACTTATTACCCGAAATTTGTTGAAAACTGTTTTGTATTTTCTCAGTGTGTAGATCTTCCATAAATTCTTATTCATAGGACACTATTCCTACCTCTCAAATATAAGGTCTTTTTAGGGTGACTGTCTATAGAAAGCCTGTAGGTAGTGTTGTGTTTTGACAATTCTCCTGATTGGTAAGCATTACTTTTTAAGACTTGTTTTTATTTTAAACTTTATGTACGCATATGTGGCTGTGTGAGGATATGTGCACATGAGGCAGATACCTAGGAAGTTTCTGGGTGTCAAATGTCCTAGACTAGAGTTACAGCTGTCAGATGTGGGTTCTAAGAAGCAACCCTTGTGCTTGCAAGTGTTCACACCACTGATCCAACTCTCCAGCTCCAAGGGTGCACAAATTCTCCTTACAGTTCTCAACCCTTTTGCTATTGTTCTCTCCTAGTTTTTGACATCTTATGTATGGATTTAAGGGAAGTGTCCCTGAGTACTTGGGGACTTCCTTCCTCCAAGAGCTTCCCTGTCCTTTAGTATAAAGCTGCTCTTGTGACCCTAAATTCTATAACCATGTAGCATGCAGAATGAGGACAGTTCTGGGGGAAAAACTGAATTAACCTGTTCTCACCCACAGCAATATCCTACATTACAGGCTTTTTTGTCTTGGTGTCTTCAGCCAGCTCTGCACATAATTTATACCCACTTCACTCTATATAAACTTCTATCTTATAATTATATTTTACAACAAACAGTTAGCTATGTATAGATTCATATATATACACACACATGCATCGTTTTCTGAATCCTTACTCTATGCAAGCATTTACCCAGTACAAGCTGTTCTTCCATCACCAAACCTGGAAATTCTTCTCTACCATATATTCTCAGCAGTTAAAATTTAATTTTCCCCAGCTAAAGATTTATACTGCCTAATACCCTTCATGTTACAGTTAAAGTTGTATTTCAGAGTAATGTGTTGGAATATATCTTCATTATGGGTTGGTGGATGCCGCTTATCTTTTTGTTCTCTATTGAAACAATTTAAAACTGCCTAGCTCTATTTGGCCTCATTAGGTTTTGATGCGCTGTAAATAAAATCCAATATAGACATGTGGGAGGAGAAGTGACCTTTCATATGCATACTAGAGGCTTAGAAAATGTTTAGTTATCATTTCCTACTTTAGGTATAACTTTGTCCTTCACATATGTGACATCATAATTTTAAGGAGGGCACCTTTCCTCATCAACAAAAGTATTATCAGTCAGTTTATTGGGACATTATTTTCCTCTTTTGTGGTTTTTTTTCTCTCTTCAAAAATTGGCCTGTCTAAGTGCTTTTATTTCTTGTCTATAAAGAAGCATCAATTTATAGCCTCAGATGATGTCAAAGGGAACATATCCAGCAGTTTATTTAATTTTTGAGACCTCTTTTTATCAGATGTTCTTGAGTTTCCTGGAGGATTGATTCAGATTAAATCTGGCCATCCCTCATTGTAAGTGGGTTCTCTTTCTTGCTTTGGTTAACATAATAAAGATAGTTGTTTCCCACTGCAGTCCACGTAGGATGTACCCTTCCGTGTTCATTTTTCTTTGGAGGCCAAGGTCAGGAAGCAGCTTGCAATTCTCAGTTATTGAAATTGTCTCCCATTCTATAGGTGGCCATCTAAGCATGAATTCTCTAGTCTTTCTATGGCTAAATGCCTTTATTTCTATGATGGCACCTATAACAAAAACAAAGTTCAGTTAGAAAGAACATGTATCTCCAACAAGACTACCACAGCATCAAATTTCCCTACAATCCAGAGGAATGTGAAGCATCAGGCCTCCACAACAGGAGCAACAGCGGTATGAGGCAGCACTTGGCCAGTATTCAGCTGTGATAAGCCCTGTATAGAGTGCTTTGTTGGGGCTATGGGGGGCAATTCTTTCCTATAAGAAAGTGACTCGGGATGCAACAGCAGACATTTGGTGGCCATGTCGGCATTATATGCTAACCTAACAACTTTAAAATGTTTGACTCTACTTGGCATGAAGGACTATTTCCTCAGTCATTAGTTCTCTGTGAACCCAAGACAATTGGTTGTGCTCCTTGAATACCTCAGTTAATGTTAACTAAATATGCCTTATATAAAATTAGAATGTTAAAATTAACCTTAAGTTAACTATGTACAATAATACAATACTATGTATAATAACAACAAATTGTTTATTCATTATTTTTTTCAACTTCTAGATTGTGCCATGGTTTTATAGTGATGTTTATTTCCTGAGGCTGCAGTACTAGATGAATGGATTATTGGAAGCTCTTGGCACTATGGCTGTGCCCAGGAGTTTTCTGTACTCTGAAACCCTTGTTCTTGTCTTGCAGGATGCAGGCTGGTTGGTGGGGGTGAAGGAGTCAGACTGGCTTCAGTACAGAGACCTGGCCACTTACAAAGGCCTATTTCCAGAGAACTTCACCCGGCGTCTGGAGTAGGGCTGCAGATGTTGCAAAAGAGTCACATGACTGGGTTTTTAAACCTTCATGAAATGCGGAGGAGTTCACTCTTGCTACTACCCTCATAAATGACTGACAGACTGGTGCCAGATGAGGCTTGGGAAGACAGATCAATAGAGCATGTATGCAAAAACTGTAAGAAGAGGGGAGAATAGCAAATTAAGGAACAAGTCCTTACTGTGTTCCCTGTGTTCAATAGAGGTCTCTGTGTGCTTTGTCTAACTGTGGATACTGGTACTTGATTCCCCTCCCCCAAGTCTAAAGTAGCTTTCTCCAGACCAGACTCTGACTTCTTTGCATCAAGTGTGTGATGTCAAGTGGCTCCCCTGCGGATGTAATGAGTTATCCTGTAGTGAGACACCATCTTACTCCCTTGCTCAATGTGAGCACATGCTCTCTTTCCCTTTCAAGTTTACTGTGTTTAAAACTAAACAGCTGCAAACGTTCTTAACAGTCTTTTCCAATCACCTCTATATACATATGTATGGGCATATAGTCCCACAAGCTAATTCCCATGCCTGCTGGACCTATGTGTATGCAGATGGCTACATATGCATAGCTGATCCCTTCCCTTTCCACTGTAGCTCTTCGCCTCTAAGTGTCATTGATACACGCATTGCTCTTATTCCATCTGGCATTACAGCTGCAGTTTTGCCTCAGGGCAAAACCACTCATCCCATTGCCAAAACAGTTGACAGTGTCTGTGTGTGTTGTGTGCCGTTTTCAGGGTGATATAACAGATAGCACGTCCATGCTGCTGCCCCTTTGGAGAGAGCAGGACCTGGTTGTGTAGCTGCTCAGCTGCTGGGGCCAGATAAAAATTAGATCTGGATGGGCAACTATGCAGTCTTCACTTCTGCCTTCATGCGATTGGCTGGATGAGGGGGCAAAAGAACCTATTTATAAAAGCTCCTATATACTTCCACGTTCTATTTATGCAACTCATCTTCACAGATCATTCTAAAGTGAAAGAGGTGATGTATGCTGTATCACAAACCATCTGTAACAGTTATGTTCTCAGTGCTGTGTCATTCCAAATAAACCTTTGGTAATCTCCAAGTTACACTGGTTCTTTTTCACGAGTGGTTTTTTTTTTTTCTTTTTGAAATCTTGTTCCAGTTGGACATGCTACTTGAAACAGTTTATATTGGAGTTGTTATTTGTGCAGATATGTGCTTATTCCACCTCTGGGTTGTGCTCCATGGCCCTGCCTTACTTCACCATCCTTCCATCCCAGTCATTGCTGCTCACCAGTACTTCCTGGGAACCAGCAATTACTAGAGCACAAATAACAGCTGTGGGGAGACCCCCTTCTATTGTTGGCTGTGGACACTCTCAGTCTGTGAATCACTAGCAACCGTATGACTCATGATCAGCTCACAACAGCTTCATTTTTGGTCACTTTTCTTTCTGGCATTTTTATGTTTGTAAGTACATAAAAAAGTTAGATGGAATAGAAAAGTCAATTCATGGGGCCATTGTAGCTAGAAGATAATTCATCATACAAACATATTTCATTTTGAAAAATTTCTATGAATATAGCTCTATACAGTATACACTGATCAAGAATATGAATGAATATATTTCTTTTTATGCTTCAAATTTTCCTGATGTATCACTGGATTTTATTTTATTTTTTTAAGTGTTAATAGGGACATTTTTATCATTGACCCATTGTTTTCCCAAGAGGTAATTTACAGGGAGGCTAAATCATTTTTGAATGCTAGTCTAATACAAAAAAATAAAATGTAACATGCTACTGTCCAGCAGCTTGCCAGGGAATTAAGCAAGCGAAGTTCAGTAAGGCGAGTCTTATAAAAGAAATCACTCCTGGCTTGAGAGCATATGGAGTGCTGAAATATGACTGAATGAACAGGGGGCTGAGTACTTTACTTTGGTTCTTTTGGTTGATGTGTTTTGTATTAAACTCTGACCGTTGCAAATGCTAGGCAATATATATGCATCCCCACTCCTCCACATGCTTTTAAAAATAACATGACCTAAACTGAGCAAAACTAATTGCCACATCCCTAGAAGTAGTTACTCTGAAATACCACTGTGATCTTCCCCCAGAGGCTGACATGGGGCATAACATGCAGGATGTGACTCAGATCAATTTTGTCCTGAACTTCCTAGAGTAATGGACCAAAGTGACTCTACTAAGTTCATCCTGAGCAATATGCTTTAATTGTTTAATCCTCACCAGAATTAAATTTTGCTTTTGTAATACCAAAGGCAAGTAATCATATTGTTTCGGGAACTGACAAGATCCAAGAATTCCCAACATCCTGAGAAGGGATGAGAGGGAGGCACTGCACCAGTCCCATGCTACAGAAACTGCTCTTCCTTTCTAGTGGGCTTTCCAGGGGGGTGGTAGTGGCTTCAGGTACTTCCAAGGCTACCAATCTGGTGAACACCCCCCCCCATGCACATCACTCGATTATGTATCATTGAGTGTGTACCTATATTTTATCCCACATGGCCTGAATCCAGGAAGCTGTGTCTAAGCCACTTGCTCTTTTACTTCCTCTTTTAAAAACAAAGGCATTTGGATTTTCACATTTTTAAGAATCAGATAGAGAAAGCCTGTGGGTATCCTGAAGTGGACACCGACCTGGCCCTATACTAGAACTTTACTCCACTAACATGTGTGATGTGGATAATTACAACATCCTTTGCTGTTTTAAAAATTCAGTGGCATCTCAGGTTAAACTGTTCCCCTGGACAGAAAAAGTACCTACATTGTGCTGCTGTGCAACCACCACCAACATTCGTTCTGTCAAAGCTAGGGAAGCTTTTGAATCAACAAGAAAACTTCGATGATGGCATTTCTTGGGTAGAGTGTGAAGACTCATTGTTTTGAAAGCTCTTAAAAAAAAAATCTCATCATGATTCCACACCCCATTCAGATGGCCCATTGAAGAAGACACCATGGGAAGACTCCAATCATATGAGAAATGAAGAAGGTGTTGATGACTAAGGCTAGATCTGTTTTCTCACCCAGACTGCTCGACTGAGCACTGTGAAGCTTTAGAGAGACACTAATCACCAGAGTGTCCATCCTAGGACTCTACTAGTGTTTCCTGAGAAGCCCAACTAAAATCTGCCTTCTGATTTTTACTCAACGCTGAGAGAAAATCCTTAAAAACACTGTGTGCCAGATCTCAGTGGAGGGCATATCAGGCTTTTCTCGTGTGGTAGTAGCTACTGTCTTTCCAGAATGTTACTTCTACTTGAGCCTCAAGTAAACAGACATTTTATAGCTTCTTGGAGAAGATGATAACAGTCTCTTGGCAAACTTAGACAACTGAGAGCCATGTGGTTTTGTTCAGCCTACAATGTTCTTTTTCCTGACTCAACCTTGATTTGAGATTTTCTTAACCTACAACATTAGGCTGAAGTCCATCTGGCTGTGGTCAAGTCTCTGTATCCTATCACACAGCAAGGGGAAGCACAAGTTCAAAAGCACCAAACATTCAAATGCATGAAAAAAATGAGCAATTTACCCAAATATTTTGAGACATTGGTTATACTTTTTCCAGATTGCTTAATGACTTTTATGGTTTAAAAGATAATTGTGACACAACTCTTAAATCTATGCAAACTGAGAGAAAAACCTAAAGCTTTTTTCCTAAAGGAAACTTAAACTTTGTATTTGTTTCCTAAAATCAATAGCCCCTAGACCCTTACGATCTCAGGTCAAACACTCAGGTTGTCCGATGCTTGAAGGTCAAGTGGAGTTGTAAGCTGATTTTCGCCTCCTTGCAGCACCTATGGATGTGTCTGTGTTTAACCCTTGAGAAATCCATCCTTGTACATCATAAAGTTACATAAGTTCGGTTGAGTGTGGGAGGACCTTGTCTGTAAGTGTTTTGTCATAAGGATGATACCTGTGTACCCTCTCCCATCAATAAATATTATAGACTCTCATATTGCCTTATTTCCCCCATTTCTGACCACCATCTGATTTCTGTGGCATCCGGCACTATCAAACCTTTCCACACTCTCCCTAAGATTCCAGGATACAAATTCTACTTGTCCTACCTCTCTGATTTTCCTTTCTGGTTTTCTGTGCTTGTTTCCCTTCTTTCTGAGGGAGCTGGGAGTGGGACCCTAAATTAGGAGATAGCAACACCCTTCAGTTTGTATCCTTGCTGTCTAAAGACCGACCCTTGAGAGGTCCCCTTGTTGCTTCTAAATTAACATATTTGCATGTTCATTAAACAGTTGTGAAGCTCCTTCTAAATCTGAGTTCTGATCTATAGCTTTTGTAGAGTTATTCTGTGAGATTTCCACCTTTTCTCAGCACATGGCTGAATCCTAGACCTACTGAATTGGGGCTTCTTTTGTGCTTCAGTTTTTCAAGAATGCATTCACCCTGTTGCCTCTGCCCTCCAAAATGTCGTGCCATCCTATACTTTAGTTTCTATTACCTGATCCTGTAGCCAGAGGTCCCAATAGCCAGAGGCGATTTTGCACCTCCGGCCTTCCCAGTTTTCCCCTCTCCTCAATTCATTTTATATATACAGTACTAATGCCAGCATATTAACACTCCCCTCCTTATCTTTGCGATAGTGATGGGTATCTTTTGGATACTGTGTATCATGGTATCCCAGAGTCACTGCTTGGCCTTCAAAGACCTCCCATCTTTACCAGTATTTCCCCTCTGCTTCCCTCATCTGAATCTTCTCACTGCCCCACCCTGTACTGTCTAAACTACTAGCACATGCTATGCCTTTGCTCACCCTGATGCCACCTCTTCTGGAATTCCCCCTTTTCTACTTGCCTGAACTTTTCTCTCTGCCACCCCAGAACACAGCTTATGTCTCACTCTGAAGTAAAGGGCTCTCCATCTGTTCAATCCTGTGCTTTCACCCGCTCAGACTTCTTACTGAGTGTAGAGTGTGCAGGAGTGTGTAGTGTGTGCATGAGTGTCTTCAGCCTTTTGTTTCCCACACTAGCTGATACACTTTACCCCA